TTATACATGTATTCGTGTACATCTTGTAAAGTACAATGCCACACAAATGCGGATTTTCAATGAGACATCTCTTTTTTTCATCAGCTAGACACAAAAATCAATCTTCAAGCTCAAAATCATCCAAGAAATCACCCCCCACATCAACATCCCCACCCCCTCCCCCAGTTCAATCAACTCGCCCTCCTTCACCCCTAAGAGCCGTGAAACTTGAATTTATGGAACAAGAGATATACAAGTTGGAAAAATTTGGGAAACTATTGGCTGGGCCAAACACAGACTTAGGTAAGCAAAACTGACATAGGGAACAGTTTTAATGCGCATGTAATTTTAATGCATGTTTTATTGTATTTTTAGAGGCCATCAGGAAACTTAGTTGGTCTGGAATACCACAGGCGGTGAGACCAACCACATGGCAACTACTTTGTGTAAGATAAAAACTATTCCTTGATTGTTTAAATATACACCTAATTGAAGAAACATTGTCGGGTCCAAAAAGGTCTAATCATAGTTCAAAGCTAAGACTGAAAAGGTACTTGGGAAGACAAACAATTTGGCTAATTTCATACAAACAGCTCTCCAGCATAAAAGACTATCATGCTGTTAACCTTACTAGCTCTACCTGCTTTACGGTACACCGTATATACAAGTGTAATCCCAATTTAGTCATACTCAAAATCCCTTTCGGTCTTAGCTTCTTACCATTGTAAATATCTATGATGCTTATTTTTATTGTATATTCATTTATAGTTTTCATAAAATGTGTGTGTGATTTCTGGTCAATTTTATTTACAATGAATATTTTATCATCTATTTATGAAATTACTTATATTTATCTATTTCAAAAAGTTGATCAATATTTTCACTAATGAAAATCTGCTACATTCACTTGTGAATGATCTTTTCAACACTCGAAGATAAAGTCCATATCTCTTCACACCCATGCAATATCCTCTATTTATCAACAAAAAGTTTTTATTAGCCATTAGGATGTTAATAGACCTAATCGGCTTCAACCCAATTCAAACCACCCGGGAGTAAGTTTCATTGTTCGTTGTATTTTCATTTCAAAGTTGAATTCTTAGAAACAAAAGTTCTTTTTCCCACAAAATTTGAATTGGGTGGCAACGTACATAGCAACGCCGTTGGCCGATTAGGTCTATTGCCTTACTTTTATAAAATATGTAATTCCCTTCTATATTTCTGAATTTCAGGGTTATTTGCCAGCTAACATCGATAGAAGACAAGCGACACTAGACCGTAAAAGAGAGGAATATCACAATTTTGTTAAACAATATTATCCAACACGACTTGAAGATACTTATAGGGATACTTTTAGACAGGTGAACTTTCTAATATAATTAATTATAAAGATTAATTAATCATTATTCGACTTGTACTTAAAGGGACACTGTCAATGGCATGCATGCGCGAGTAAACTTGAAAACATTAGGCTAATGTTTTCAAGTTTATTACTCCAAGTTGGTGCGACATAAATCAGCTCGTAAACGTAAACAGATCTAGAATATTCCAAAGTGTGTCAAAAGCACCACAAAATGATTTACCTCGAAGGTAATACTTTCAAAGTCCGTTAGAGGCGAGACTGTTACTGCGCATGTCATCCATTGCCATTGCCCCTTTAATCAAACAAAAACTTATTTATGGATGAAGGGCCAATGAGGAGCAGTTAAAGTGAYCTAAAAGATTATTTATTAATTAATGGTTTCAATATTTATTTTTGTTGATACAAAAACTATTTCTTTCTATTTCAGATTCACATTGATATCCCAAGAATGAACCCTTTAATTCCATTATTTCAGCAAACGTTAGTTCAAGAGGTAAACACAGACACACAGTATGGCAGCCCAATCACACTGATGTATACACAGGCTGCCCAGCTRTTGCTTTATAGAAAAAAAAACGCTTTTACAGTGTATCTATCGAAGGGCGCTCTTAGTAAAATGTGGATTACCTGTGGTATTATAGGCCGTGATCAAAWGCAAAGCACGGGCACTGAACACTACAGCAACTTTAAGAATACATTTTGAAGCATTGCAGTGCAGRATATATGAATGTATGGGTCTTTTTCTACAGATTTTTGAGAGAATATTGTATATCTGGGCAATTAGACATCCAGCAAGTGGATATGTACAGGGAATGAATGACCTGGTAACTCCTTTCTTTGTTGTCTTTCTTTCAGCATATGTTGGTAAGTTCTGAACGCCTAGTCTTTGAATCTGTCTCATTTATTTTATAGAAACAGTTATGTAAAAAGATAAAWTTAACACCRTAAAAAAGTATGTGAAATAACTTACTGACGTTTCGGACGTTAATCCTTCGTCGGAGTAAAAGTGATGAAAATAGGTAAAGRGTGAGTTTATATAGTAGGAGTAGGAAGGAAAATMGACCAATAGGAGCAAAGTAGGCATGGTAACGTGAAATAAACAAAAAAGCAAAGGAAGTGTAAGACAAAAGAACAAGTTATTTCACATACTTTTTTACGGTGTTAAATTTATCTTTTTACATAACTGTTTCTTTAGAAACACCGACGCAGCTCACACTAGTTTACCGCTAGTTCCCATCATTTATTTTATTAAGAGTATACATACAAAGTGAATGAATCCCTTGCCTAGATGTTTCAATTGCACTTTTTGTCTACTGCCACAAAATGAATGTGATTTTTTTTTATTCAGATGGAGATCTTGAAAACTATGATGTGTCTACATTACAGCAAAGTGTCCTGGACACGATAGAATCTGACAGTTTTTGGTGTCTAAGTAAACTGTTAGATGGAATACAAGTATGTTTATTGATGTTGACGAAATGTTAAGACTTTGAGGTGCATGATGGCTTATTTAAATCCATGTCAAGGCTGTGATGCCTTTTCTAGTTTCTTTTGAGAGGTCAGTTTTCACTGCAAATTCAGCACACAACTATACAAGTCATGTAGACATATGTTAAAGAAGAATTATTGTTTAAATTACGTTAGTTATTGAAGTTTTTTAAATTTTTATTTCTAGGACAATTACACTTTTGCACAACCTGGGATTCAAATGAAAGTGAATGCACTTAGGGAGCTAGTAAAGCGGATTGATGGTAAGTGGTKTTCARTAAATCTTCATCCATCCCAYCAAGACAGGGCCTGATAAGGYGAAGAAGCATCATGACATAGKATGTCATATAAGAATCACGGGCKTCCTGTCTTTTTTGGGGGGAGTCAGATGAGGAAGAATGGGGGCGAGTTTCTCGTCACTAGTCCCTAGCGGCCAAGATGACCGTTACAAAGGAAGCCCAAAGGAGGAAAAAAGAGTTGCCYGAGGAGGAGCTAGGCCTATTGGTTGATTAATTTGTGTCTTTTTCTGTACAGAACCACTTCATAGGCACTTGCAAGCAAATCACGTGGAATATCTACAGTTTGCCTTTAGATGGATGAATAATCTTTTAATGCGAGAGATGCCATTACGCTGTACMATACGACTCTGGGACACGTATTTGGTAAGATTGTAGTGTCGTTCATTAAATAATCGTACTTTGGTGGAAAAAAATTGTAACAAAACGATTCTTTCTTTRTAGTCTGAAGAAAATGGTTTTGCTAGCTTTCATTTGTACGTTTGTGCTGCTTTTCTGGTGCATTTTTCTAAAGAAATCACTTCAAAGAGAGACTTTCAGGTGAATTTCATAGCTCTTTCCTGCAGTGGCGGATCCAGGCCTCAAGCATAAAAAAAAATAAATAAATAAATAAATAAAAGAAATGATGAAGTAAAATGAAAACGCATCGTACAATGAATTTTTATTCAAAACATTCACGCTACATTTGCTACAGTTGGACAGGCACAGTAAAAAAGTTCGTTTTAGGAAAATGAGAAAACACAAAGTGGAACCCCCTTTGAAAAATCCTGGATCCGCCACTGTCCTGGAAATACACGTCTTGGCATCAACAGCTCTCCCAGACAACTAAACAACAATTTCTTCTCTTTTKCAGTTCTTGATGGTACTTCTTCAAAACCTACCAACTGTCAACTGGAATGATCAGGATATCGGTTTAATACTTGCAGAAGCATTTCGGTTRAAATACATGTTTGCCGATGCTCCAAAACACTTGCAAAGCAAATAGGGAGAGTAAATAATGAACATAAACCCGTGGACCAAMATGTCGAAATTTTTTGGCATGTATTTTGAGTCGTATTAAAAGGAGGAAGAATGAGGAATGAAACGTATTGATCATTGCAGCTCTCACGAGGAGTGCAGCCACATCTGAGGGTCAATAAAATGGGCTTTTACTTCAAAGAAATAGTGAAAATTCTATGATTTGCCCCCCAGATGGATATAGGGCGTAGCAATTAAAAAATAGAGAAAGATCTTGTTGGAGCGAGTCACAAGTTATGTATCGYTTCTAAAATGGTGAATCTGYACAATCAAAGATTGGWTATTGAGCTGRCACTGAGAAAAATGCGATAAAAATACTTAAATAATGACAAAGTTGTATGAATTCAAAGACCCTACAAAATGTAGCATGTCGGTTAGTAAATAAAATCAAAGAAATCTGAAACTGTTGTTGTTGTTTTTTTCCTTAACAAATTCAGGATCAATAAATACATCATTTGCATTTCACATACAATCGCCTGCATTTCACCTACAGAGTGAAAAGAGTAAACACAAGATCAATTATATTTCGTGTTGAGGCATCAACAATCTGTTATGATTTTTATTGCCTATATAAATATGCAATTTAAAATTACAAAATGTAATAATTTTAATGTACAGTTGTATTCAAAATGTGGATTTTAAAATTGCAAAATGCTTATTACTAATAAGTTAATTTCATACAAATATCTCTTCAAAAAAATTAAATATAAGAATTATGATAAAAAATTTTCCGGGTCTGATGCCCAGAKCCCTGATTCACTATCTATTGCCCTAAATTTACGTTGGATTGATTGATTAATTTGATTTCTTTCGAGTAGCGTGTGTACAAATATTTGGATAAATCCAGAAGCGTAATAGCGTTGCCTGGAATATAGATTCCAGTCCTTTCAGTYCGGCAGTCGCGAAGGCTACAAAAGTTCTTTGAGTGAACTGACAGGGAAAGCTCATGCTTGAAAATCACCGTTTTCAAGCTGCTTGTACAACTCAGCAAGTTCATCTCGCGTTGGCGCAGATACCCCTGGGGATGCTGGGATATCAAATGCGATACTGTCGCTATTCGAGGCATCAGAATCGCTAAGTACACACGCATTAGCTAATACTTCATGTGAAGTGCTACTGCAAATAGAATAAGTCGAGCGATATGCAGGACTATTCGTATCATTAGCACTGTAATTGACATTTGGGATACCAGAAGCGTTAGCTGTCTGAGTTAACACTGTACTACGTACTGCAGCCGCACTACCATTGCTGGAACTACTGACAGTAGAACCAGCAAGCCTGTCCCCGGCGGCGTTACATACGGGAGAGAGTGGAAGGGTTGTACGCAGGTCTTTAGTATTTCCGGCAGTTTTTAAATTAGATTTACTATAAGCTATGTTTTGCGATGGGTAAGCTATGTTTTGCGATGGGTAAGTGTTGTTAGGTAAGTGAGATGAAGTGGAATCAATGTTACATTCAAAAGCGCGCGAATGAACAGCGGTCGTGGGTGCTTCGTTGCTGCTTCCAACAGAAGGTCTTGCAAAGGTTTTATCGCAAACGTTTCCGCGAGACGCCCCATTGGTCGATTTACGCAAATCAGCACTTGAACCGCTTGACAAATTCTTAGAAAAACAAGGACCTGAGCTTTGTTCCAATACCAAATCAGTTCCACTCCCATACGGAACTTGACAAACGTCTTCTTGAAAAGAATCTGGTCGTTTTTCAATGGAAAGACTGGGCTTTTCAGGAGTATCAGGAGGACTATTTTTGTTACGGCCTTGTGTGCTAGAAAGCAGGCTAGTCTTACTGGCTGATTCGAACTCAGAATTGCGACTAAACGAAATATCATGAATCATGCCTTCCTGAAAAGTGTTTGTAGTTTCTTCTTTGGAAAAATAATGATTTTCTGGGTTACCATCAAGCAATTTCTCGTTGTGCGTTGTCAACAGACCCGTATTATTGAGTCCATCATTTTGGTAAGGGTGTGTTGTGTTTTCATTGGAAAATTCTCGTTTCTCTACACGTTCAGCATCATTGGAGTTCCTTACTTTATCAGACCCTGCGCTTTTTCTAGCTCTACGTCTTCTTTTCGATGGGAGGGGTGCGAGGGAGACATCTTCTTCAAGACCTAGTTCTTTATAAGACATCGCCACTATAAACAGAAATAGAAGATGACGTTTTTTATCTTTTCWTAAACACGGCCTTCATCCCAAATTATAGGTGGAAAAGAGATAAAAGCGAGAACGTTTTTAACAATCGATACGTTATYGAAATCTTCACACCTTGTTGACTTGGTGAACTTCGTTTGATAGTACTTATTCTCGATGTATTTTCACTTGCACTCCCTGTAGCGAATTTGAATTTGGCGGCCATGGCCTGGAAGTTTCTCTCGCCTGAATCCTCGCGCCCGCACGAGTCGCAYTCGTCCACACGAGTGTACTGTTTCAGCCTTAAATAAAAAGACAACGCCCYGAGTTAGAGCTCCCTTCGTCGTGTTTTCGTAAATGCGGCTATATAAGAGTTATATACGAGTATTCAAAGTAGAGTTCACCTACCATTCCCATGCATCGTCGACTGTGTACAATCCTGCTGGTTCAACGTTAGGAAACACGTGATATGGCTTAATGTAGGACACCAAGTCGATTATCTGGAATATCATTCGCGAGGTATGAGAAAAATAGATATATATATATTACGTAAAAATTAAAACCGAAATATTTGAAAGAAGTCAAGAACTTCGTTTCCACTGATGTTAAAACTAATGCCGCTGTACATTGATATTAGATTTAGATACGCGTTTACTGCGAACGCCAAACGTCATTAAACTCACGAGCACAGATGAGGATGGGCAGAGGTGACGAGCCAGGCGGTCACGCCGCAGACCAACCTGACAGGAGGTGTCCATGCTAACGACGCGCGGACCACCACCTGGCAACTGTCACACTGTATACAGTGGAATTTATACTAAACTGATCAAGTGATCACTGTTTTTCTATATTAACGCTCCGTTCTTTCGCGATTGTGTATAAAATRKATMACTTTTKCGTGCATWAGCRCATCRCYATTCCYKTCGAAGCGTTTTTACGTTTGTTTGAAATTTTGAGACAAAGTATAAAAGCCAATTTGACGTTTAGCGTTTGCAGTAAACGTGAATCTAAAACTCTCTATTAAAACTGTGCAAACTCGGCAAACTAGAGGTAATGTTCTGTCGTTGGTTCTTATACAAGCGACAGAAGTTTACCCCTTGAGATCCCGAGGATGTCGTAACATACCTCCTCCATAGAAGCATGCATAGAGTGGACAACACGCCAAGTCTTGCTATCCCTGCAATAACTAACAACGCAAGTAAGGTCATTAATAATCAACCACAGCAACGATTGCATTTGAAGGAAAACTTACGTTGAGTTGTCCGCAGGAATCGGGTCTGAACGTCTAGCAAACCACATAGTCGAAGGTTTGATCTTGATAATGTTTGGTACCAGTCCATTKGGAGGAATAAACCCACATGGAAGGGAAGACGGAGTATCTTTAGSTGACTAAAACAATTAAAATATTGAGAGTACACTAAAACAAACAGAAGCAGACTGCAGCTGTAGACTGCCCAAGTAGGACTTTTTTTACTCCCAGTAATGGGTGAATATCGAGCGCAAAGCGCGAGAGGCGAGCTGCAAGGCGTATGTACGTTGAACAGGAGATACGCAACGAAAAACGAGCGAAAAACGAACTTTGTGAAAGTCTACAACAACCACAACAAAAATTAAATTAAATACAGCAAAAATCAAATCTAAGCTATTTTTCAATCTGTTGCAAAGCCTGATGTAGTTTGCAAAGAGTTTAAATAAGCTGTCTACAATGGAGATTTCAACGCTTCGTCACCACCGTTATTTTGATCACCATTATTACCTTAGGCCACCAACACGAATGTATAACTGTTGAACTAGGATCTGTGGTGAAATACTGAGGCATATCTGTCAGGTACTGGTATAAATACAATCTTTCTTTGCTTACATGAATCTAACAATGGAAAAATGAGAAATGGTGACTTCRATTGCAGATAAAAATACAATAAAAGTGGGAAAATTACRAATGAATGAAAAATTGAAGAAAAAAGTGAAAACTGGAAGATTGKGAATAAATAATATACCTTTGTCTTGTAGTGCTGTGCTATTTCTTTCAGGATATACTCATAACCGTACATCCCTTTACATAGCAGATTCACCATGTAGGAACTGCCTCGAGATATCCACCTTCAAATATAATATTTTGAGGCAAGATTATATGACAGTGTACATGTATTTATAGTAATAATACGATAAAAATTGCTGTTTAAAGGAACAGACATGAAAAAAATAAAATGACACATACCTGTCTATTATTTGAA